AGTTTGGCTTCCTTGTAGTCACTTAGCTACATGTATTAGCTGTGCACCTGTGATTAGAAGATGTCCAATATGTAGAGTCTTCATCAAAGAAACAGTAAAACTTATTACAACCTCCCATGTGAATAATTACTACACCAGTAGAACATACAACACGATTGAAATAGTTTGGCTTCCTTGTGGTCATTTAGCCATATGTAGTAGCTGTGCATCTGTGATTAAAAAATGTCCAATATGTAGAGTCTTCATTAAAGGAACAGTAAAAGCCACTACAACCTTCCATGTGAACAATAACTACACCAGTGGAACATACAACACAATTGCAATAGTATGGTTTCCATGTGGTGATTTAGCTACATGTTGTAGCTGTGCACCTGTAATCCAAAGATGCCTTATATGTAGAGTCTTTATCAAAGGAACAGTAAAAGCCATTACAACCTCCAATGTGAACAATTACTACAGCAGTTGAACATATAACACGATGGCAATAGTTTGTCTTTCATGTCGTCATTAAGCTACATGTTTTAGCTGTGCCCCTGCGCTAAGAAGGTGTCCAATATGTAGAGTCTTTATCAAAAGAACATTAAAAGCCAATACAACCTCCCATGTAAACAATTACTACATCAGTGGAACATATAACACGATTGCAATAGTTTGTCTTCTTTGTAATCATTTAGCTACATGTAGTAGCTGTGCACCTGCGCTAATAAGATGTCCAATCTGTAGAGTTTTAATTGTTTTATTGAAGGAACAGTAAACGCCATTACAACCTCCCATGTAAACAATTACTACACCAGTGGAACATACAACACGATTGCAATAGTTTGTCTTCTTTGTGGTCATTTAGCTACAAGTAGTAGCTGTGCACCTGCGCTAACAAGATGTCCAATATGTAGAGTCTTTATCAAAGGAACAGTAAAATACATTACAACCTCCCATGTGAACAATTACTACAACAGTGGAACATAAAACACGATTGCAATAGTTTGTCTCCCTTGTGGTTATTTAGCTACATGTAGTAGCTGTGCCTCTGTGATTAGAAGAAGTCCAATATGTAGAATCTTTATCAAAGGAACAGTAAAAGCCATTACAATCTCCGATATGACCAATTACTACAGCAGTGGAGTATACAACACGATTGCAATAGTTTGTCTTCCATATGGTCATTTAGCTACATGTTGTAGCTGTGCCCCTGTGATTAGAAGATGTCCCATATGTAGAGTCTTTATCAAAGGAACAGTAAAAGTCATTACAACCTCCCATGTGAACAATTACTACACCAGTGGAACATACAACACGATTGCAATAGTTTGGTTTCTTTGTGGTCATTTAGCTACATGTTGTAGCTGTGCACCTGTGATTAGAAGATGTCCAATATGTAGAGTTTTTATCAAAGGAACAGTAAACGACATTACAACCTCACATGTGAACAATTACTACACCAGTGGAACATACAACACGATTGCATTAGTTTGGCTTCCTTGTGATCACTTAGCTACATGTATTAGCTGTGAACCTGTGATTAGAAGATGTCCAATATGTAGAGTCTTCATCAAAGGAACAGTAAAAGTTATTACAACCTCCCATATGAATAATTACTACACCAGTAGAACATACAACACGATTGCAATAGTTTGGCTTCCTTGTGGTCATTTAGCTATATGTAGTAGCTATGCATCTGTGATTAAAAGATGTCCAATATGTAGAGTCTTCATTAAAGGAACAGTAAAAGCCATTACAACCACCCATGTGAACAATTACTAAATTAGTGGAACATACAACACGATTGCAATAGTTTGTCTTTCATGTCGTCATTAAGCTACATGTTGTAGCTATGCACCTGTAATTAGAAGATGCCTTATATGTAGTGTCTTTATCAAAGGAACAGTAAAAGGTTTTACAACCTCCCATGTGAACAATTACTACACCAGTGAAACATACAACACGGTTGCAATACTTTGTCTTCTTTGTGGTCATTTAGCTACAAGCAGTAGCTGTGCACCTGCGCAAAGAAGGTGTCCAATATGTAGAGTCTTTATCAAAGGAACAGTAAAAGCCATTACAACCTCACATGTGAACAATTACTACAGCAGTAGAACATCGTCACGATTGCAATAGCTTGTCTGCCATGTGGTCATTTAGCTGTATGTTGTAGCTCTGCATTGTGATTAGAAGATGTCCAAATATGTATAGTCTTTATCAAAAGAATAGTAAAAGCCATTACAAGCTCCCTTGTGAACAATTACTAAATTAGTGTAACATACAAGACGATTGCAATAGTTTGTCTTCCTTGTGGTCATTTAGCTATATGTAGTAGCTGTGAACCTGTAATTAGAAAATGTCCAATATGTAGAGTCTTCATCAAAGGAACAGTAAAAGGTATTACAAACTCCCATGTGAACAATTACTACACCAGTGGAACATACAACACAATTGCAATAGTTTGGCTTCCTTGCGGTCCTTTAGCTACATGTAGTAGCTGTGCATCTGTGATTAAAAGATGTCCTATATGTGGAGTCTTCATCAAAGGAACAGTAAAAGCCATTACAACCTCCCATGTGAAAAATTACTAGACGAGTGGAACATACAACACGATTGCAATAGTTTGGCTTCCATGTGGTCATTTAGCTTCATCTTGTAGCTGTGCCCCTGTGATTACAAGATGTCCAATATGTTGAGTCTTTATCAAAGAAACATTAAAAGCCATTACAACCTCCCATGTAAACAATTAGTACACCAGTGGAACATATAACACGATTGCAATAGTTTGTCTTCTTTGTGGTCATTAAGCTTCATGTTTTAACTGTGCACCTGCACTTAGAAGATGTCCAATATGTAGGGTTTTTATTGAAGGAACAGTAAAAGCCATTACAAGCTCCCTTGTGAAAATTACTAAATTAATGGAACATACAAGACGATTGCAATAGTTTGTCTTCCTTCTGGTCATTTAGCTACATGTAGTAGCTGTGAACATGTAATTAGAAGATGCCTCATATAAAGAGTTTTTATCAAAGGAACAGTAAAAGGTATTACAACCTCCCATGAGAACAATTACTACACCAGTGGAACATACAACACGATTGCAATAGTTTGTCTTTTTTGTGGTCATTTAGCTACAAGTAGTAGCTGTGCACTTGCGCTAAGAAGATGTCCAATCCGTGGAGTTTTTATTAAAGGAACAGTAAAATCCATTACAACCTCCCATGTGAACAATTACTAAATCAGTAGAACATACAAGACGATTGCAATAGTTTGTCTTCCTTGTGGTCATTTAGCTACATGTAGTAGCTGTGAACCTGTAATTAGAAGATGCCTAATATGTAGAGTCTTTATCAAAGGAACAGTAAAAGGTATTATTACCTCCCTGGTGAACAATTACTACACCAGTGGAACATACAACACGATTGCAATAGTTTGTCTTCTTTGTGGTGATTTAGCTGTATGTTGTAGCTGTGCATTGTGATTAGAAGATGTCCAAATATGTAGAGTCTTTATCAAAATAATAGTAAAAGCCATTTTAACCTCCCATGTAAACAATTACTACACCAGTGGAACATACAACACGATTGCATTAGTTTGGCTTCCTTTAGTTCACTTAGCTACATGTTGTAGCTGTGCACCTGCTATTAAAAGATGTCCAATATGTAGAGTCTTCATCAAAGGAACAGTTAAAGCCACTACAACCTCCCATGTGAACAATTAATACACCAGGGGAACATACAACACGATTGCAATAGTTTGGCGTCCATGTGGTCATTAAGCTACATGTTGTAGCTGTGCACCTGTAATTAGAATATGCCTAATATGTAGAGTCTTTATCAAAGGAACAGTAAAAGCCATTACAACCGCCCATGTGAACAATTACTACAGCAGTTGAACATATAAGACGATGGCAATAGTTTGTCTTCCATCTGGTCATTTAGCTACATGATGTAGTTGTGCACCTGCGCTAAGAAGATTCCTTGAAAGGAACAATAAAAGCCATTACAACCTCCCATGTGAACAATTAATACAGCCTTGGAACATACAACCCGATTTCAATAGTTTGTTTTCCATGTGGTCATTTAGCTATATGTTGTAGCTGTGCACCTGTGATTAGAAGATGTCCAATGTGTAGAGTCTTAATCAAAGGAACAGTAAAAGCCATCACAACATCCCATGTGAATAATTACTACACCAGTGGAACATACAACACGATTGCAATAATGTTTCTTCCTTGTGGTCATTTAGCTAAATGTAGTAGCTGTGCACCTGTGATTAAAAGATGTCCAATATTTAGAGCCTTTATCAAAGGAACAGTAAAAGCCATAATATGCTTATGTCTTTTAAATGTATAAAAAAGATAAAAATTAATAAAACAAATCTTGCAATATATACTTTAAGTTATATAGTATTTATTGTACAAGCATGATCACGAAGAATACAAAGGATCATATCTGCAAGTTATAGTGACGTTTACAGAAGACAAATCATATAAAAAAGAAGATGTGGTATGCTTGCTAAAGACACTATTCTACACTAGAGACAAATTTACATAGCTATAGAGCACCGTACGACCTGAAACAATGACCAAAACCTATACCGCATAGCAAGCTATAAAAGTTCCTTGGAATCAAAAATGTAATACTAGTACAATTCAAACAAGAAACTGACATCCTTTTCTATATATTTAGAAAAAAAGAAAAGAAAATGTCATTATTTCAAATTCGACTATTAAATTGAACTCTTATCTCGAACATTTAAACACGATTGTTTTATACTAACTCGAAGTTTTTCCGAATATTAAAGTTGAAGTCGAACTTTAATTCAAATTTAAACTTGAACTGAAAGCTCTAAATCATAACACAATGCATAGCCACTTTTACTAATCAATATTACCAAAAACACTTTTTTGTTTCAAATTTAAAGTTTTTTTTTCTCAAGAGAACGCTTGATGATTTTCTTAAATAAATGATTTATATCAATCTTACATTACATCTCATTTATTTCAGTGTCAGTTAGAAGTCTTGAAGAAGAAATTAGGAACCTAATATATCAATAGACTTGTAAGTTATGCTAAGATGAACCGATTACAATTGTTTTCTTCCGTGTGGTTATCTAGCTGCTTGTGGTAGCTGTGCACCTACGTTATAAAGATGTCCAAAATGTAGAGTCTTTATCTGATGGAACACTTTTGTTTAAAATTCAAAGTTTTTTTCTCGCGGGTATACTTTATGATTTGCTTAAATAAATTAAATGATTTTTTTTTACATTAAATCTAAATTATATGAGTGTCAGTAAGACGTCGTGAAGACGAAAATCAGAACTTAATATATCAGCAGAGTTGTAAGATGTAATTGGATGAACCGCTTGCAATAGTTTGTCTTCCTTGTGGTCTTTTAGCTACATGTAGTAGCTGTGCACCTGTGATTAGAAGATGTCCAATATGTAGAGTCTTTATCAAAAGAACAGTAAAAGCCATAATATGCTTATGTCTTTAAAATGTATAAAAATAATAGAAATTAATGAAATAAACCTTGCGATATATACTTTAAGTTATATAGTTTTATATTGTATAAGCTAGATCATGACGAAAAGAAGAGATCAGATCTGCAAATTCTTCGTAAGGCTTAAAGAAGACTTTCAATATAAAAAAGATGATGTGGTATGCTTGCTGAAAAAATAATTCTTAACCAGAGTTTTTCTTCCTTGTTGTCATTATATTATAAGTCTTCTGTAACAGGACGTTAGTTTTCTCGTTTTAATTGTTCTAGTATTATATTTGTCATTTCGAAGAATATGTATAGCTTGATATAGGGTTTAGGTTTTGTCATTGTTGAAGGCAGTACGGTGACATATAGTTTCGTCAATCGGTCTCTGGTGGAGAATTGTCTATTTAGCAAGCATAAAACATCTCCTTTTTTAAATCATATGTCTTCTGTAAGCGTCACGAATAAATTGAGATCTGATCTCTTGTTTTCGTCGTGATCATGCTTATACAATATAAAACTATATAGCTTAGAGTATAGGTTGCAAGATTTGTTTTACTATTATTTATCCATTTTATACAGTTTAAAGACATTAGCATATTATGGCTTTTACTATTCTTTTGATAAAGACTCTATTATATTGGATATCTTCTAATCACAGGTGCACAGCTACTACAGGTACCTAAATGACCACAAGGAAAACAAACTATTGCAATCGTGTTGTATGTTCCACTGGTGTAGTAATTGTTCACATGGGAGGTTGTAGGGGCTTTTACTGTTCATTTGATAAAGACTCTTCATATTGGACATCTTCTAATCACAGGGGCACAGCTACTACATATAGCTAAATGGCCACAAGGAAGACAAACTATTGCAATCGTGTTGTATGTTCCACTGGTGTAGAAAATGTTCACATAGGAGCTTGTAATGGCTTTTACTATTCCTCTGATAAAGACTATACATATTGGACATCTTCTAATCACAGGGGAACATCTATTACATGTAGCTAAATGGCCACATGGAGGACAAACTATTGCAATCGTGTTGTATGTTTCACTGCTGTAGTAATTGTTCACATGTGAGTTTGTAATGGAGCAACTTTAGTCTTAACAATTATTATTTGTTATTACACACGTAATTAGATAAGAAAAAAGTATAGTGTAGCATGTAACTTATTGAAGTGATTGATTCTAATTTGAAAATATTTTTACGTTTTTAAAATCCTTTAAGTCTCTTTTTTTATATACAAATGGTTGTATATTTTTTTAAATAACATAATTTCAATTTTTAGTCTTTCTGTTAACAGTCAAGTTCAGTTTTAAAAAGAAATAATTTACAGAAGTTTTCAAGGATTTGTCCGATTTTAATGTATTAAGCCATACTTTTGGAATTGAATTTTGAAATTTTGAAAGTCCGGAGATCCGATAAGGTTTTTTGATTAATTTCTCCTGTACAACTTTTTTGCGAAATATGCCCTTTATGATTAATGTCGATATCATTGATGTTAATAATACCATCTTTATCTAATTAAGATATATTATTTAAATCAATAATTGATTACCTGATGAAAACGATACGAATGCGGACTACGATTATGTTTGTCAATTTTCTAAATTGGCTACAGCTACGGACAAAAATGATCCGGATGCGAATGATGTGTTTTACTAACGTTTGATTCCAATACAAGTCATACACCTACAAAAGAGCACGCAACCATTTTAATAAATAAGTTTACTTATTGAACTTTGATTTTCCAGTATAAATTAAAAATATGATTAGATATTGAAGTCTTAAGACAGATTTTTTTCCACCAACAATTTTAATAAATATTTTATAATTTGTATGCACTACTATGTATGAGGATATACCCATAAATGTAAATGCGTAAAAATTCGATAGTAGGGTTTTACAACACAGGTAAAATTATATGAATTTATTTTTAGCAAAAATCATAAGTAATCATGTAGTATTTTAAGGATACATTCATGTATATAACGGATATATATTTATGCATGTAAATGTATAATAAATCATGCCAGGGAAGCAAAAAATCTAATAATTTTTTGAATAACGTTTTCTAAATTATTTTAGTAGAAGTTTGATAACGTAATCAAATGATATACCAGAATAAACGAAAACAAGACCGGAGACTTACCTGGGTTAAGCAACAAACTATACTCAATTTATTAAAATAATATAAATTACATCATTTGGTTTCCCTTCAGTCAAAATGTGTATTTGTAACTATTCATTTGCATATTTCCCGCATGGTGATAAAAATCAAAGTGACAGTTTCATTACATTTGACGTTATATATCATTTAAAAAAGTTAAAAATATTTTGATTAGTAGATATAGGATGTACTGGAAAAATACTACAGACGAAAATGCAAATGTTAAAAAGGAAAATTGCGTACTTATTTGAAATTTAAAAACAAATTCAAAAGGGATGCATATTTATGTCAAGTTATTCCATGTAATACTTCCATTATATTTCAAAGTATGAACACTTTTTTTGGTTGATGTCATGTGAGTTTGAAAATGTTAATATGGCATTGTCAAGATTTATAAGTACTTGTTTTCAAATAAGAAAAAATGTGCATTCCGAAACTAAAAATACATAGTAGTGATGTAGTTTATTTTAATTTAATTTTTTTTTTTTTTTATTTCGTATAGAAACAAAATATTCTATTTTATTTATTTTCAAACACCATCTAGTATGGAGTATAGTTATCTAATTGTTCATATTTAATGTAACATATCTTTAAAATTACTGTATAATTAATATTACATATTTATGTATATGCTCGGAAACGGGCACTTTGATTGGATTTAATAAATATTCTTATTTTTATTTTTATTTCGAAATTCTCGTCCCATTTCTTTCAAATTTGCTAATTAATCTTAACCCATCTTACAATTTCATTCCTTGAAATTTATTACCCGTTTGAACTGCCGGTCAATCAATTATTCCTATTACCAATGTTATTTCAACTGATCAGGCGGGGCTTACGCTTCAATTTGCATAAGGATAGTATATTTTAAGATGTGTGTGATAAAAATGATTGCCATTATAATTATTATAACTGATTGTAATCACCTATCAGCAATCAGTGTCATAAAACAAATATACGAAAGAACTGAGTGTACGATATTAAACGAATAAAATAGTGTAAGACTTATAGCCTGTATATGTGCTAAAGCAGAATATTCTAAAGTATTAGCTATTGTAGTATTCTGTTTGTGAGATTTATCCTAAACGTGATTTATAAAAAAATAAAAATATATCAACGAAATAAATTTAGACCCTAAATCTCCTTATAGAATTACGACATACGCATAATTTCCAACTGATGTAGTCTTGTTTTACCTTCATATATACAACTTCCAAAATGGGGAGAATTTTAGAAGTTTTTAAACTTTGCTTTACAAGAAAATCAAAGGCTGGTTCTCATTATTTATTTTGAAAATACACATTAAGTGTTCACATATTTTAACCGGATCAATAACCATAACTTTACAATGTATTGATTAGTTTATCCAAAAACACCTGTCTATAGATGGACTGGTCTATGACGAACGAACGGGTTAAACTCCACCCAGTCAATTAAAATAAATCAAGTTATACTTTACAGGCTTAAATTAATTGTTTAACTTAAATATAATAAGGTACAATTACTAAAGCGATTTAAATCAGATAGGAAATTGTATTAGAGGGATTACAATATTAATAGAGTATATGCTGGCAATGATGAAGAAACAATTTGCTTTCATCATCTATTTAAAGGAGAAAAAAAATAAGATTCGTAAGATTGATTTAAATCTGGTCATTTTAAATGTTGTGTATTGTTTTAGTCCTTATTTTCTTAAATCGTATAGTTTTCTTTGTATAACTATTATTCTTCAAATCAGGTTGCACTGACTTTAATATGAATCCATCGTATATATGCTAGGTTTATCACCCCCAATCAACTAAATTGTCATAACTGCTGCTAAATGACATTTGTATTTATATTTTAATGTAGCTGGGATTTCGAAATAGCAGATAACAATCGGTTTAGATCTTTACTGAAACGTGCAAATTTCTAAAGTAGTATGTAATTCATTTGCAATACTTTTCACGTCAATATAGAAAATTATGTGTTTTATCATAATTACGACTGTATTTTAAAGAAAACAGAATATTGTAGTTTGATTCATTTTTATCAACTTTTGCCATAAAAGGAGATATTTTAGATAAAGTATCTTTTATAATAGAATTTACCTATTTTATTATGTAGATAGAAAACTAGTCCGGTGATCCCATGTTTTACTATTTCTTATCTGAAAGCATATTTTTAGAGCTATCTTCTTATATTTTATCTCAAAATTCTATGGGGTAGTTTTCTTTTTATCACACAAAATTAGGTTTTCCATGGATAATCTATACAAAATTTGACAATTTTTATAACGTGTAGCCTGAATAAAATCCCAGTGACCCATGCTTTGCATTATATTTTTTTATAAAAAACATGATATTAACTACATATTGACAAATTATTAAAACATTCTATGGATTTTGATATAGACCCATCTACCTTTATAAAATGTATTTTTAATTTAATTATTGATAAATGTATACTATACAAAAAAGTGTACATTGGGTTAATTTTTAGCTTTTTATGACGATTTTAGTCATGCATATTACAATAAAAACATAAAAATTCTACTGAAGATATATCATATTTCTACTAAGGTAAACATTACATTTACTTTCAATATTTATTTACAAACATTGATTTCTCAGTATTGACCTGTTATAAAAATATTGCATAATAACCATAAAAAATGTATACATTTATGAACTAAACTTTAAGAATTTTAATAAAATCTGACTTCAAAGTACATGAAGCAAGTTTTGACAATGTTTTTAAAAAATTCCAATGTATTTGAAATAATTTAGAATATCCGATAGTCATGATAGTAGGCACACTTTTGATCTAAAACTGTAGAAGGACTTTTTAAAAAAAAAAAACTCATAGCATTCAACTTCAATATTTATTGTTTAGGGATTCGAATGTTGCAGTTCAACGATCAATAAAAAATAGTTTAGTTGATGTTTACTATGGGAAACATAAACACTCTTTTTTAATGAAATAATAAATAATAGAAAAGCAATTGTAGCAACACTTCACATTACATGCAAAATATATTTATACCCTTATGTATGACATAATAAATAGAATGTGTGTCTGCCAAACATTCTGATACAGGAACCATTTTCTGAAAGGATATTTCAATTAATCTATGTTCACATTTATTAAACAAATACATAAACAACAGACATTAGCCGATGACTTTTTAGTTAAGAAACCGAAAGCTTTCCGTCATTAAGTTAAATTATTCAAATCAATAGTAAAATTTTCGGTAAATAATTATTTCTTATTTCATTGGACAACAATATTAACGAATTTAAACAAAATCAAAGAAAGGCCGTTTTAAGAGTGTGAACGTCATCACAATTAAGTATTTTTTGTGTAATATATTAGCCTAGAAAGAAATCTGAAAAAAAAACTATTATTTCTGACAACATATGTCTTTAGTTTTCTATTTTGTTAAAACTTCAAATCTAAATTCACATTGAAAGTATTAAATATCTGCCAAAAATACCGATTGATAGATTTTTTAGAAATTTAAAAACAAATGTAAAATAATAATGTAATGCGTTATATTATAATACTTTGTCTTTCCATATTGTTCCAAATAAATGCCTTAATTTGACCTCAATTGCAAACTTTTAAAAAAAAAGACAAATTTAGCATAATGACATTTATCTCAACAACCATATATAGATGTATAACAACCAGTTGCTGTAACTTCAAATTACATATCGGAGTTTGTTAATATAACTTCAGAAAATAATTAAATTTTGATAAGAATAACATATTTTACTTTCCGCTATTCTTAAAATTAGGAAGTTAAGAAATCATCGTTGCGTTTACTTAATATGCCATGTACGATGAAATATATTTTCGTGTTATGTAATGTATTGATATCACTTTACAAAAAACCTGTTAAATCTTTCAAATTATATCAATAAAAAGTCTTTTCAAATTTCATATTTAAGATGTATCGATAAAAATTTGAAGCTTAAACACAATGCGATAGTATGATATGTGGTTAGCGCTTATTGTTATAGGTCAATTCATTTATTTTTAAACATACATGTAGATGTAAACTGATAAAAGCAAAAGACCAACTTGAATTATGTAAATGAACAGTATATAAAGTTATGCAAATGAACAGTATATAAATTGTTAAGTTTAACTTCAGTCACAAGTTTAAAAAGAAATCTAGCTTTAAACGGAAAAAATATTTTGTTTTTAAAATAATGGAAGGTAAGACATTTATGTTTAATACAATATTTTTTGATAATTTTTCTTCTATGTAAAGTCACATAATATTGGTTCATAAAACTTGACATTGGAAAGTGCATTACGTTATAAATGAATAGTTAAAGATTCTGCTAATTGATACGTTTTTAAAAAATTAACTGTTATTATAGGTATATATTTTTGGGTCCCAATTAAACAGTAATTTCGAAGTAAATTCTATCGATATCTTTGAAGTTCATTCCTATTGGTGTCTTCAAAAGGGTAGCTTGCGTTTTGGTTATCAAATTATTGAACTATCTGTTTGCTTTTCGATACATTCACCTATGTTTGTCTACTTTCGTAAAATTTCCGAAATGCCCCTAAATAATTCAAAGAAATATTATAACTGGAATTTACAGCAAATTTTTACATTGCACACTGTTTTTATCGGTAGGCAATACAATTGAATTCCTAATTAATAAATTAAATCATAGCTCATTATAAATTTATGTACATACATGATATAATTAAATCATCTCTTTCTGGCAGTAAATAATTTAAAGTGAATACGGTCATTTGCAGCCCAAACCTAACATATATTATACTAAGAGCTGAGATGTATGCTGACTTTTTACGCTTATCTTTTTAGTGTAATAAAACAGATTAGACACCAATATAAACGCATTTATAGACAGCATATTATCATAGTTGTCCTTGATGACCAAAAATTTCACTACATTGATTTTAAGTCGTTAATTGAATATTTATTGTCGTAAACGTTCAGCGGGAAATGTTTCATTACCACTTATGATAAGATAGTTGTTTAAGGAATAAAATAATAAAACTCATGTAAAATTATTAGATTATGAGATCGTTGATTCAATTTTTCTTGCTGTAAATGTTAAAATGTAAGTAATTAGTCTTTGAAGGACTGGTACAAACAATGATGTAAAATCATAAGATTATCATACAAATTATTTGGGCGTAAGAACATGTTTACGCTGTACTTGTAACGAATAAGAACATATTTTTGTGGGCTTAGACCGACGTGAAATAGAGACGCCGATCAATCAAGATAAGCTTTATTCTTCGTCCAGGCATGCAGATACAATAACTTCTCATGAAATTTTTGAACGATAATTGTTCGGCCAAAATAAATTTTAACAGCAAAAAATAAAATTTGTTACATAATGATGATGCCAAAGTTACGAGACTGATTACTCTACAAATCTGATTAATAGTTGATTTAAACAAAAGCTTTATAGTTTTTATATGGAACCCAGGTTAATTTGAGGGATTTGTTCTTTCATTCTCAAACTCTTTATAGACTATTTTTCTGTTTTACTGTTAACTTTGTATGGTTAGTTTTTACAATGTTATTACAGTTTCACACCACATATTTCTGTTACTAATAGACAAACAAAGTAACTTTAAAATGGCTGCAACTAACATAATTAGTTATATATTTCACCATTGTGTTACATTTTGGAACATTTACATTTGTTTTCCCATTCATAAATATGAATACTATGGATTAATACACCTCGGGGCATCATTTCGTAGTTAAAACTCGTTTTCCTCTCAACAAAAATAGACAACACCTTATGTTATGTCTTCATTTTAATAAAGAATTGATCGATACCAAAAAGGACATTAACTCATCAAGCAAAAATATACTCACACCATCATAGCAAAAAAACGACTAAAAGACAAACAACAGTACACAAAACACAACATAGAAAGTAAAAGGTTGAGCAAACCAGCCCCCTCCCCCCCCCCCCCCAAAAAAAAATAAAATACCGGTGTGCTTGTTCAAATGATACTTGTAGTATTTTCATCTTGAATAACCAACAAACAAAGAAAATTTGCTTCAATGAAATCACACTTTTCAATACTCAAGACTTACATTTTTCATGTTTTTTACAGAAAATAGTAGCTTATCGATCCAAGAGAGCAATTATGCTTCAGGTAGTGAGTTAGTACCTACCGGTTTGCCGTACAGGGACACCAACCATGAGGACTTCATATCAATACATCAAATGAGACTACCTTTACACGTACAAATTATCTCATGTATAGGTAACAACCCAATAAAACTGTATTGTGCAGCTGGGGATGAATTTGTACCATTTGGAAACTTGTACAGATACCAATCGACAGAACCTTATGATGGAAGGAATTGCCAAATAGTTCTTCCCCCGATACAGCAAGAAAAAGTAGGAATACAAGCAACAAGAAGCACAGAGTAGACAACATATGGTAAATGAAAATATGTTAATAACTTCCACCATTTCTAAATCTTAAAACAAATTAGGAATGGACTTTCTTAATTTAAAATAGTAAGTCATGCAATGGTAGAGTGATTGATTGATTACTTAATGTTCAGTGGCTAATAGTTAATGCAGAACAAATTGAAACTGCAGAATTAAAAAGAAATCCAGATATTTATGAAACTACAAATCAGTTGGTCGAAAATTACATTAGAAAAATACCAAGTCAGTAGAGGTAAAAAAAAAACAGCTCGTACATTTGTTTAAATTTGTAAAAACTCGTCTAAAAAACCAAATGCTCTATAAAAGCTTACTTAATCAAGACAGAATTAAGGACTAAGTAAGACATTTTAAAAACTTTTTTTTTTTGTGTATTCCGAACGAGAAAAATTTAAATGTATTTTTTATTAGAATTTAAACATGAAGTTATTGATTTAAAAAGTCTTTTACGTTAACAATTATTATTAATTTATAATTAAATATCTTTAACTTTTAGAACTACAAGTAGACAATTGTACTAAACATATATACATATATATTGGTGATTTACCTAATACAGTCCTTGGATGGTGTAAACTTCCCACTCACACCATACACCATTACACCATTCACCATACACCATTACACCATACACCTTGTGCCATTACACCATACACGTTACACCTTTGCACCATACACCTTACACATTACACCATACACCATTCTTTTTTTTTTTGTGTATTCCGAACGAGAAAAATTTAAATGTATTTTTTATTAGAATTTAAACATGAAGTTATTGATTTAAAAAGTCTTTTACGTTAACAATTATTATTAATTTATAATTAAATATCTTTAACTTTTAGAACTACAAGTAGACAATTGTACTAAACATATATACATATATATTGGTGATTTACCTAATACAGTCCTTGGATGGTGTAAACTTCCCACTCACACCATACACCATTACACCATTCACCATACACCATTACACCATACACCTTGTGCCATTACACCATACACGTTACACCTTTGCACCATACACCTTACACATTACACCATACACCATTCCCCATTCTATCTACACGATCCGAAATTACCCATAATGCAATTAAATTTCAAAGAAAGCGTGCGACTACAAAATTATTTATTTGATTTAAAAAACGAATTTTGATCACAATATTGTAAATTAATGTATAAAATTAAAATCTCCGTGGTCATGCCTATGATGGTTATATAAACAATACAGATTAAATATATATACATGTATTTGTAAATAAAGTACGCATAAAACTTTGCTTGTAATGCAAATTTATCCGCGATCTGCCTATCTATAAATTAAAAACGATATTGGTTACAATGCTATTATTATCGGTTTTAACATTTATCGTAAATCTTATAAACTTGCTTTTCAGATAAAATCGACAAACAATGCCAAAAATGAATACTTCAGGATGACTGGTACATGCCCAAACAGAAAAATAAATGAACAAATTGCTTTCAAATCGTATTCAAATCTCTTTCAAATCGTAATTCTGCAATTTGTTAGTACCATTTGCTTGCGATTCATTAAAGAAATTATAAACAAATCAGAATTCGCCAAATTCCCAAAACTGATTTCTTTGTGATTTCTTTCAAATGTATGATTTGTTAGCAATTTGTTTCTGTTTTTGTGTGATTTCTTTATGATTTGTTTACTTAGAATATCGTATGAAATGATTTCAAAAAGATTTGTTAACTTTATTCGCTAAAATTGTGTGATTTCGTTATGATTTGTTTACTTGGAATATCATAGGAAATGATTTGAAAATGATTTGTTAACTTTGTTAGCTATCATGGTGTGATTCATTGATGATTTGCTACAATGAAAACAATGTTATTGCATTCAGATTTTTCTGGGTTTGTCTTTATCTCTGACTTCCGGTTGAGGTCAAATTCAAATTTCAAATACTGTTCTACATTAACTGAACAAAGAAGGTTGCAAGATGAAGAGTAAGATATACTATCAATGATGACAGTGGTAAGTATCTTAGTCATTAACTTATTGTTTCAGGAATTCAATTGTAAGTCAACTATTCAAACATGTCAAAGGTGTTAAACTTTTATATTCGGAAACTGTGCATTTCAATATCTCGTTTTGTGTACTGTCTGGATAAATTTTCAAAAAAAAATGTGTAAAAGACATGTAAACAGAACGAGACGAGCAATTAAAGAGTAGCTTCCCGAGTCAGCAGACAATATGCACTGGCAAGTTTTATGTTTAAATTTTTCATGATGTTGACTGGTCAGGTATAGAGCTGTAGCAGATTTGGACCTAGACTAAGACCCATCGCCTACTAGTATTTGACATCCTTCTAGTAAACGTGGTTGCCCATGTTGTCAAATCTCGTTAGATTTAAATTCTGGAGAAGTGAGAGAAACTTTTCACAGAGGGAACAATTGCTCCCTCATGACAACCCGAAATAATAATCCCTTAACAATCAGAGGAGTAGCTAAGGTCAAATAAAGACAAGTGCACTTCAAAGTTTGGGGGTCTCAGGGGCAGAACAGATTTTTGATCCAGATGTAAATGATTTAATCTGTGAATCGATGATGATGTCAATTAATTGACGATTTGCTTGTGATTTGCTTAATGTAGGAATATGATTTACTTCTGATTTGTTAAAGATTTGATAACGATTTGTTTATAATTTCTTCATAATTTGAAAACAATTTGTTTGCGATTTGCTTGAGGTAGGAATATGATTTCATTCTGATTTGTTAAAGATTTGTTAACAATTTCTTTATAATTTCTTTACAATTTGAAACAAATTTGTTTGTGATTTGCTTAAAGTAGGAAAGCAATATCCTCTGATTTGTTAATGATTTCAATACAAATTCTTGACAATTTGTTTATGATTTGCTTATGAATTGGAAGCAATTTGTTTGTGATTTGTTGTTGTGATTTGTTAGTTCATTTGCATGTGAAATTTTATCACTTTCAAATCATAAAGAAATCATATGATTTGGTTATCATTTGTTACCATGATTTGTTCCTCACTTTTCTTTGTTTGGGTGTACAACATGTACAACAAAATTATTTTAAGCATCAACCAAAACTGACCATATTTGCACTTATAATTATAAAATTGAGAATGGAAATGGGGAGTGTGTCAATCTGTTAATTTATATAGGGTTAAAAAATTTGGAAATATTTTTGCCCTCCTTTTATTAAAAATATTGTCTCGCTACAAAATTTCAGTAATTTTGATACCTCAGGCTGACTCATATAACAAAATTATTTAACTCATCAACCAAAACTGACCATAATATTTTCACTTTATTATATAGATCTATATAGCCGCATAGTAAATCAGCAATATTTTGATGTCAGGGTGGATTCTATAATACAAATGACAGCAACATTGCAAAACAACATGTACAATGACAAAAATTTGTCCCCATCAATCTAGATTGCCAGCATGTCCTCTTTTTATTCAATATATTGTCTCGCAACAAAATTTCAGTAGTTTTGAAACCTCAGGTTGACTCGTATAACAAAATTATTTTAACGCATCAACAAAAACTGACCATATTTGCACTTTATTATGTATATCTATAAAGCCACATAGTAAATCAGCAATATCTTGTTGTCAGGATGGATTGTATAACACAAATGACAGCAACAGTGCAATACAATGACAAAAAAAATTTGTCCTGATCAATCTAGATAGCCAGCATGACCTCTTTTATTCAAAATATTGTCTCGCAAGAAAATTTATGTAGTTTTGATACCTCAGGCTGACTCGTATAACAAAATTATTTTAAAGCATCAACCAAAACTGACCATATTTGCACTTTATCATGTAAATCTATATAGCCGCATAGTAAATCAGCAATATTTTGATGTCAGAATGGATTGTATAATACAAATGACAGCAACATTGCAACACAATGACGACAAAAATTATACCCATCAATTTAGATAGCCAGCATGCCCTCTTTTTAATTAAAATATGGTCTCGCAACAATTTTTCAGTAATTTTGATACCTTAGGCTGACTAGTATAACAAAATTATTTAAACGCATCAACAAAAACTGACCATATTTGCACTTTATTATGTATATCTATATAGCCGCATAGTAAATCAGCAATATTTTGATGTCAGGATGGATTGTATAATACAAATGACAGCAACATTGCAATACAATGGCAACAAAAATTTGTCCCCATCAATCTAGATAGCCAGCATGTCCTCTTTTTATTCAAAATATTGTCTTGTAAGAAAATTTCAGTAGTTTTGATACTTCAGGCTGACTTGTATAACAAAATTATTTTAAAGCATCAACCAAAACTGACCATATTTGCACTTTTAATAGTATGTATATCTATATAGCCACATAGTAAAGCAGCTATATTTTATTGTCAGAATGGGTTGCATTATACAAATGACAGCAACATTGCAACACAATGACATCAAAAATTATCCCCATCAATCAAGATTGCCAGCATGTCCTTTTTTTATTCAAAATTTGTCTCGCAACAAAATTTCAGTAATTTTGATACCTAAGGCTGACTAGTATAACAAAATTATTTAAACGCATCAACAAAAACTGACCATATTTGCACATTATTATGTATATCTATATAGCCACATAGTAAATCAGCAATATTTTGATGTCAGGATGGATTGTATAATACAAATGACAGCAACATTGCAATACAATGACAACAAAAATTTATTCCCATCAATCTAGATAGCCAGCATGTCCTCTTTTTATTCAAAATATTGTCACGCAACAAAATTTCAGTAGTTTTGATACCTCAGGCTGACTCGTATAACAAAATTATTTAAACGAATCAACCAAAACTGACCATATTTGCATTTTATTATTATGTTAATCTATATAACCGCATAGTAAATCAGCAATATTTTGTTGTCAGAATGGATTGCATTATACAAATGACAGCAACATTACAACACAATGACAACAAAAATTTGTCCCCATCAATCTAGATTGCCAGCATGTCCTCTTTTTATTCAAAATATTGTGTCACAAGAAAATTTCAGTAGTTTTGATACCTCAGGCTGACTCATATAACAAAACTATTTTAAAGTATCAACCAAAACTGACCATATTTGCACTTTATTATGTAAATCTATATAGCCGCATAGTAAATCAGCAATATTTTGATGTCAGGATGGATTGTATAATACAAATGACAGCAACATTGCAATACAATGACAACAAAATTTGTGCCCATCAATCTAGATAGCCAGCATGTCCTCTTTTTATTCAAAATATTGTCTCGTAAGAAAATTTCAGTAGTTTTGATACCTCAGGCTGACTTGTATAACAAAATTATTTTACAGCATCAACCAAAACTGACCATATTTGCACTTTTAATATTATGTATATCTATATAGCCACATAGTAAAGCAGCTATATTTTATTGTCAGAATGGATTGTATAATACAAATGACAGCAACATTGCAACACAATGACATCAAAAATTATCCCCATCAATTTAGATTGCCAGCATGTCCTCTTTTTATTCAAAATATTGTCTCGCAACAAAATTTCAGTAATTTTGATACCTAAGGCTGACTAGTATAACAAAATTATTTAAACGCATCAACAAAAACTGACCATATTTGCACTTTATTATGTATATCTATATAGCCGCATAGTAAATCAGCAATATTTTGATGTCAGGATGGATTGTATAATACAAATGACAGCAACATTGCAATACAATGGCAACAAAAATTTGTCCCCATCAATCTAGATAGCCAGCATGTCCTCTTTTTATTCAAAATATTGTCTCGTAAGAAAATTTCAGTAGTTTTGATACTTCAGGCTGACTTGTATAACAAAATTATTTTAAAGCATCAACCAAAACTGACCATATTTGCACTTTTAATAGTATGTATATCTATATAGCCACATAGTAAAGCAGCTATATTTTATTGTCAGAATGGGTTGCATTATACAAATGACAGCAACATTGCAACACAATGACATCAAAAATTATCCCCATCAATTAAGATTGCCAGCATGTCCTCTTTTAATTCAAAATTTGTCTCGCAACAAAATTTCAGTAATTTTGATACCTAAGGCTGACTAGTATAACAAAATTATTTAAACGCATCAACAAAAACTGACCATATTTGCAAATTATTATGTATATCTATATAGCCACATAGTAAATCAGCAATATTTTGATGTCAGGATGGATTGTATAATACAAATGACAGCAACATTGCAATACAATGACAACAAAAATTTATTCCCATCAATCTAGATAGCCAGCATGTCCTCTTTTTATTCAAAATATTGTCACGCAACAAAATTTCAGTAGTTTTGATACCTCAGGCTGACTCGTATAACAAAATTATTTAAACGAATCAACCAAAACTGACCATATTTGCATTTTATTATTATGTTAATCTATATAACCGCATAGTAAATCAGCAATATTTTGTTGTCAGAATGGATTGCATTATACAAATGACAGCAACATTGCAACACAATGACAACAAAAATTTGTCCCCATCAATCTAGATTGCCAGCATGTCCTCTTTTTATTCAAAATATTGTGTCACAAGAAAATTTCAGTAGTTTTGATACCTCAGGCTGACTCATATAACAAAACTATTTTAGAGTATCAACCAAAACTGACCATATTTGCACTTTATTATGTAAATCTATATAGCCGCATAGTAAATCAGCAATATTTTGATGTCAGGATGGATTGTATAATACAAATGACAGCAACATTGCAATACAATGACAACAAAAATTTATTCCCATCAATCTAGATAGCCAGCATGTCCTCTTTTTATTCAAAATATTGTCTCGTAAGAAAATTTCAGTAGTTTTGATACCTCAGGCTGACTTGTATAACAAAATTATTTTACAGCATCAACCAAAACTGACCATATTTGCACTTTTAATATTATGTATATCTATATAGCCACATAGTAAAGCAGCTATATTTTATTGTCAGAATGGATTGTATAATACAAATGACAGCAACATTGCAACACAATGACATCAAAAATTATCCCCATCAATTTAGATTGCCAGCATGTCCTCTTTTTATTCAAAATATTGTCTCGCAACAAAATTTCAGTAATTTTGATACCTAAGGCTGACTAGTATAACAAAATTATTGAAACACATCAACAAAAACTGACCATATTTGCACATTATTATGTATATCTATATAGCCACATAGTAAATCAGCAATATTTTGATGTCAGGATGGATTGTATAATACAAATGACAGCAACATTGCAATACAATGACAACAAAAATTTATTCCCATCAATCTAGATAGCCAGCATGTCCTCTTTTTATTCAAAATATTGTCACACAACAAAATTTCAGTAGTTTTGATACCTCAGGCTGACTCGTATAACAAAATTATTTAAACAAATCAACCAAAACTGACCATATTTGCATTTTATTATGTAAATCTATATAGCCGCATAGTAAATCAGCAATATTTTGTTGTCAGAATGGATTGCATAATACAAATGACAGCAACATTGCAACACAATGACAACAAAAATTTGTCCCCATCAATCTAGATAGCCAGCATGTCCTCTTCTTATTCAAAATATTGTGTCGCAAGAAAAGTTCAGTAGTTTTGATACCTCAGGCTGACTTGTATAACAAAATTATTTTACAGCATCAACCAAAACTGACCATATTTGCACTTTTAATATTATGTATATCTATATAGCCACATAGTAAAGCAGCTATATTTTATTGTCAGAATGGATTGTATAATACAAATGACAGCAACATTGCAACACAATGACAACAAAAATTATCCCCATCAATTTAGATTGCCAGCATGTCCTCTTTTTATTCAAAATATTGTCTCGCAACAAAATTTCAGTAATTTTTATACCTAAGGCTGACTAGTATAACAAAATTATTTAAACGCATCAACAAAAACTGACCATATTTGCACATTATTATGTATATCTATATAGCCACATAGTAAATCAGCAATATTTTGATGTCAGAATGGATTGCATTATACAAATTAAATGACAGCAACATTGCAACACAATGACAACAAAAATTTGTCCCCATCAATCTACATGTAGATAGCCAGCATGTCCTCTTTTTATTCAAAATATTGTCTCGCATGAAAATTTTAGTAGTTTTGATACCTCAGGCTGACTTGTATAACAAAATTATTTTAAAGCATCAGCCAAAACTGATCATATTAGCACTTTATTATGTCATGTATGTAAATCTATATAGCCGCATAGTAAATCAGCATATAGCTGCAAAGTAGATCAGCAATATTTTGATGTGAGGATGGATTGTATAATACAAATGACAGCAACATTGCAATACAATGACAACAAAAATTTGTCCCCATCAATCTAGATAGCCAGCATGTCCTCTTTTTATTAAAAATATTGTCTCGCAAGAAAATTTCAGTAGTTTTGATACCTCAGGCTGACTCGTATAACAAAACTATTTTAAAGTATCAAACAAAACTGACCATATTTGCACTTTATTATGTAAATCTATATAGCGGCAGCCGCATAGTAAATCAGCAATATTTTGATGTCAGGATGGATTGTATAATACAAATGACAGCAACATTGCAATACAATGATAACAAAATCTTGTCCGCTTTAATTTAGAGTGCCAGCATTTCATCTCTGTATTCGTTATATAAAACTGTCACTAAAGTCAGTATCAGTATCTGTATTTCCCACTTCCATGACTTCTGAATATGGACGGGTACATCACAGATTCCTTTTGGGCTATTGTGTGATGGGTTGGTCTGCGCATAAATTAGTCGTGCTTGCTGAGGTGTGATGATTTAAACTCAGTAGTTCAGGATGGTTTGTATAATAAAACTATTCCACCTCATCATCCAACAGTGTGACTGACATGACAGATTTCATTTGTACTTTATAATGAAAAGTATGAGAAGTTCTCTTCTAGGAAAAGTATACTGTTAGTATATTATGTCGGTTGGTTGATTTTGTTGGTGGCTAAATATCAAGTGGCAAATATTTCATTCCGTTTCACATAAGTATATTTTTTCGGACGTTCAAGATATCATTTATAATCCGTAAAGACAAATCTAACGAAATTGACGAGATTGTTCATAATTATACAACACCTTATGTGCAATAACACTGTACAATTTTCCTTTGAACATTTTTTGGAAAACAGAATCGTAAATCCAAGGCAAACATAGGTGAATGACGATAAGATATTTATAAAGAGACTGTCAAAAGTGGGGAACGAAGCAACTTTAAAAATGATGTTGATAACCCGTGATATAAAAATACTGTTCCGATGCGTGGATAACCTTTCTATCCGCCTTCTAGTTTAAATAAAATCCTTTCTTTTATGATAACTGCATGTGATCACAAGTGTGTAATTTTAAAGCCATTGTTTAATGTAAATAAGAATATGAAAAAAAAAGATTTTTTAATATGTGTATATTAAATATATATGACATAGAGTCTAACGAGTAAAGTAATTTGCTTTACTGGGAAAAAAGAACAATAGGATTATTATTATTGTTTATGTTTACAATCCGAAAAATTAAAATAAAATGAACTTCGGTTTCAACCAATGAAATGTCGTACACCATTCATTCACACCATTCCCGATCGCACGTTACACAATCACACCATTCCTCATACACCATTACACCATTCCCCTTACACCATACACCATAGCACCATACACCTTCTACCATTGCACCATATGCCATAATCCATTACACCTTACACGTTATTTTGGGAAGTTTACACCATCCAAGGGCTGTAAGAATAAACTTATTGCATGCTTTTTTTTATTTGTAATTAATGTTGTTCAAAATTTGCATCACATATCCTGCGTTTGTATATATATACCAAAGCAAATGTAATGATAAATACATTGCGAGAACTCTTGATTTACTTTTCAGATTTTGTTGCACATCATGGAGGATACAAATGAAACTTAATAATGAAATTATAAAACATGGACGCATACATGATTGTAAAACAGGATTAAAACGTGATAAATTAATATTTAGAGATGTTTTAATTTGACATATGCAGAATCTAAAAAGAAATCATTTGATACAATTTTTAAGTTAATCACATAAAGAACATTATGTTATAATTTATCTTCACCGTCATTTGCAATTTCTCGTATATCACACCGAGGAGTGTCATGATTTTTCAAATGACAGATCGTAGGGAGGTCTTTTTTTGTTGACAATCCTGACACTCCGATGTGTATTATACGACTAGAAAAACTTGCATATCTTACTTATATACCGTTAAAGATTATTAATATCTGAAAAAATTTACAGGATTCGCATCCTATTTTACCGATCACACCAAAGTGGAATATTCTATTCTGATGCGTTTCTGAAGATTTAATGTGCCATACGGATTACTGTTAATGTAAAATAAAACTCACTAATTCATCGCAATATAAAGTTTAGACATCTTTATCAAGTCCCGAAACAATATATTTGAAGCAAGTAACCGCCGGAAAACGGCGAATGAAAAATAAAAAAAAAGTCAAAATGTAAGTAATTTATTCTACAAAAGGAGTTGACGAAAGAGTATGTTATGGGTTTTGTCTGTGTCTTCATGACATTTGTATCGCAGAAAAGTAGATTTTTTTTTTGCTCATATCTAACGATTTGAACTATTCAGAATAATTTTGATTTGAATTGATATACTATATTTTTTTATACAAAGAATCTGGATAAAATTTCACCCCACCCCATCCTTAGATCACCCCAGTTTTTTGTTGGGTTCGTGTTGCTAAGTCTTGAGTTTTCTCTGTTTTGTCTTGTGTACTATTATTTGTCAGTTTGTATTTTTCTTTTTTAGCCATTGCGTTGTCAGTTAATTTTCGATCTATGCGTTTGACTGTCCCTCTGGTATCGTTCGTCCCTCTTTTATAAATTACGTGGCTGTTACAATATATATATATATATATAAATTGGTCATTTGATAGATAAAGATGTAAAAAAATCAGAACTGGCACGAAGGGAGCACTAAGTCGTGATACATGTGCGTGTAGCACAAAAAAAAACGAATATCCATGAACGTAAGTCAAGGTATGAATTCCATAACAGTATGAATCAGTAAGGTTTTCAAAATCCTTAACAAGAAGGTATTGTATCTGGCATGTTTTAGAAGTGTTATGAAAGGTTTTGCATTATTAAATTCATCTCACATAATGTCCCTTTATTGTAGCGATGAATAAACAAAACTTCAAGTTATTTGTTTCGAAAGTTCAAATGCACGTCAATGACAATTTGTTGGTATTTCAGTCTAATACACGGAGGAAAGGATTGTCTCTGACTTAAACCTATCAAAGATGGAATATTAAAAAGTAAACCCTCAATTTGCAACAACATACGATAACTTTCAAACAAACTAAATGTTTAAGTAAATTATGATTTACGTTTTAACCAAAAAAATAATGACCGTATACAGGACATTATTCTATGCCTTTCAGAATATTTATTTGAAACTTGGTATCGTCCGGGTTGATTCTTCAAAAGAGTGACCTAATGTTCTGAAAGAAAATAACTCCATATAGGTATATACATTTTGGTTCTACATATCCATTTATTTCTTTTGATGCACTGGTTTAAACAACTCCATTATTAAAAAAACAGCATTATTTTATATATTTTTAAAAGTAAGAGAGTGCTTCTACACTAGACACGTCTGTCCATCCAAGAAAAATCCGACAGTTTGTAAAAAATCGTGTAATTAAAAAATTACACATTACTCCGTTGACCGGTAATGTTGAACTCTTTTTATAACCTACTTACAGAAAAGCTGTGTTCAATCCCACATGTTTTTGTTCTAAATTTCCTTTGGTGTTCGGTTTCTTTTTTTTTAATTCCTACCCCTTCTATAAAACAACCAATAAAAGTCATCTGACCACAATGGTCTTTACGTTCAGTCGAATCGCGTCCTTTCAAATATGATACCTTTCACATGGGATTTTGGTACTAATGTATGTATATGGTGTAGTAGTTTAGTAGTTGATAAATGATTATTGTTGTGAATGAGAGTATTGAAATAGCAAAATGAAATCATTTTTCGTATTTCATCTACAGATATGTTTTTTTTATCAAACAGTTTTTGTTTATGACAAATATATGCCGCATCTAACTTATATATTTTTTTTATCTGGTTTGTGACCAATTTGTGCAATCTGTTTTGTTATAAATAACAAATGTGCCACTACGATTTGTACGATATCCAGTGAGTCAAAATTAGTAAAATAAATATTTGAAAACTTGACGTTTTTAACTGCATTGTTTTACAAAAACCGAAATGATTTCTGAATATGTACGAAAGAATAAATTTAAAAACAAAGCCCATTAAAAAAATGTATATAGGTATTTTACAATATTCAATAAATACAGTGATTTAGTAAAAGATACATTAAGATTTATCTGTGAACTATTCTGATTTGCATGGAAGAATATGTTAACATTATTATAAAGTTGTTAATAGATGAATTGTTTACCAGGGGCATCAACCAACTGTATCATGTTTATGAGCTAGGGGGCTTGGACATTTAATTTCAATAATATTTTCGCTGAACGTACCTGTTTTCAGAACATTCATTTTCGAACAGTTCTGATTCTTTAATCAATACAAACCCAATTACATCGATTTTTAAAAATTTTGAATTTTTCAAATACCAAGGCTTTTCTACCTCAGGAAGAATAGATTACCTTATCTGTTTTTGGCAAAATTTTTAGAAATATTTGGTCCTCAATGCTCTTCAACTTCATACTTTATTTGGCCTTTTAAACTTTTTTAGATATGAGCGTCACTGATGAGTCTTTTGTAGACGAAACGCACGTCTGGCGTAAATACAAAAACTAATCCAGGTATCTATGATGAGTTTATTTAAAACTCTTGATTTAGGTGTATAGGTTTCATTTTAACACAGTGTTAACCAAGTTAATCGTTGTATAACGATGTCTGATCAGACATCCACTATACTGTTGTCAAGGATGTACATTTTGTAAGCTGTATGAATTGTTAAGAGAGAAAAACAATTCCGATCGGCTGAACTATTTACATTTTATCAATCTTTCTGTCCAATATTTACCTTGTGTGATACTGTAATCAACAATGGTGTGACTTTCAGTCATTCGATTGGTCAAATGTTCGAAGGTGTTCTGTCGCCATGAGTATAGTTGTTATGACGTGTTAATAGATAATAATAATGTAAAATATATCAAATTATTGTGAACTGTATAGATAACGTTTTACTATCATAGCATAATCAAGTGCATACCGTGTGAAAATTACCACACCCTTCATAAATTGTGATTATCAAAGGTACCAGGATTATATATTAGTACGCCAGATGCGCGTTTCGTCTACATAAGACTCACCAGTGACGCTCAGATTAAATTAGTTATAAAGCCAAACAAGTACAAAGTTGAAGAGTATTGAGGACCCAAAATTCCAAAAAGTTGTGCCAAACACGGCTAATGTAATATATTCCTGGGATAAGACAATCCTTAGTTTGTTTCGAAAAATTCAAAGTTATAACGACAAGTTAACTTAAACTATGAACAACAAAATTATTTATTATGTAAAATATATTTCTGCTATTCATTTATACTGTATACATTACAACAAAATTATTTGCATTAACCTGTGTACATTATTCTTTTTGGAGGCGTTTTGTTCATGGTTATGGTTATGTTTCTGAAATTGTTTAACATCTAACCCAATATTTTATTTATATTTAAATTGTGTCGTAGATCAAATCTTTTCATTCAGTTGATGTTCACTTGTGTTCATATTTCTTTCGATTGAGTTTAGCCATTTCATTTGATATTCTATAGCGTGTCTTTATATGTTGTGATGTTACACTATTGTTTCAGACATAATTAAAGGTTAGTACCTATTAAAACGTTTAAACCCGCTGCATTTGTTTGTTCCTGCCTAAGTCAGGAATCTGATGTTAAGTAGTGGTCGGTTGTTGATGTGGATTATAAATGTTTATCGTTTCTCGTTTTTTATATAAATTAGAACGTTAGTTTTCCCATTTGAATAGTTTTACACTAGTCATTTATGGGGCCTTTTATAGCTTGTTGTGTAAGCGAAGGCTCCGTGTTGAAGACCATACTTTGACCTATAATGGTGTACTTTTATAAGTGCAGTCTAGGATGGAGAGTTGTCTCATTGGCACTCATACCACATCTTCTTATATCTTCTTAAAATACAAGTTTATTGTTTATTCATAAATGACATGGTCAATAAAAATAACAGTCATTCCATTTTGTTAAATAAATCAAACTTCAATGTTTCTCAGTATTGACTTGTTATAAAATTATTTCATGATTACAATAAGAAAATGTACACATTCTTGGATTGAACATTACAAATTACAGAAAACTACTTCAAAGTTATTTTACGGCGAAAGTGAAAAAAAGAAATCAAGTTCAGATGACCAATAATAATCTGTCTATCGCTATTTCACATTTGACGAAGTTGCTAATTTCATGTCTATTTAAAAAACCAAGATTGCATTCTACTCCAATATAAATTGTTTAGGAATTCAAACTTTCGACCTCAACCATTGCTCAAAATAGTTAACTATGAGAGCTTAACCTTTTTTTGGTGAAATAATGAATAATGAACAAGAAATTGAAAACAACACGTTTAATAATTTCAAGCGTCCGAAGCGCTTTTCTGGATTTATCTTCATCATGAACGCTCAAAGCCAAACATTTGAAATCCGAGGGATGTATAAGTACCGAAACAGTTGAAGAGCTATATGACAAAAATACCTAAAACAAATAGCCAAATTCATATAAGGTCAACTTTGCCTGAGGGAGTTAAAACCTTAGTTTCTTTATAATCTCAAAATTTAACAACGGACAATTTTAGAAAGGTTTGTTATAAATCATGTCAGTACCGAAGTACTGACTACT